ACTGACACTAAGGGAGAAGTTTTAAATTCCTTCCCTGCCTATATATATATTTCATTTCTAGTAATCAATGCTTGTCCTTTTTCCCCTCCCAGAACTGACTGTGTTTCAGTGGGATTCAGTGATTCCCTGACAGGAAAAGCAACTCTTTTCCCATCTGGCAGTCAACTGCTCCTCGCAGAGCTTGTGCAGGTTTCTCTTTCAGTGAGTTAGCTGGCAGGTGATGCAAGGCCCTTCTTTGATACAGGATGCACCAAAGAAATAACTTACAGGAGAAAAGCCTTGACTGTTTTATAAAGTGGTGCAGAGACTGTGATATGCCCATGGCTTTTTCAAACGAGGCATTTCCAGCTTTGCTCCTTTCGAGCAGTCTCTCTTATTCAGCCATGAACTCAATAATGCAGGATGGTGACACCTTAAAATAGAACAATGTTAATATTTTACAGCAAGGCTCTTTCTTCTGGTTATGCTTGGTTTCTATCTTGGAGTGTTCAGAATGAGCTTTGAGAGTTATCTTCTCTTTCCTCTTCCCCATCTGCTGCAAATGTAATTAATTTTAGAACAGGCAGTTTTTTATGCATTTGGGGAAGCAAAGCTGTGTCCTCATGTGTTAAACTCAGCTACAGATGCTGGATCCCACTAGTGGTAAATAATTGTTTGGGATGCTATTTTAGTCAACTGGGTCAAAATGAAGCATTCTAAGATTAGTAGGTTTATTGCAGTAAGGTGTGGTATGTTCCCATTTTTTATAAAGACAAGCCTGGTGGTGGGAGGACTTCCCAGAAATGCACTAGCAGGACAGAGGTTTTAAAGTTCTGAACAGTGGTAAAATTACTGTTTCATTTCTGCATTTATTTGAGTAATTAACAGAGCTGTGTCACTCAGGAGGTGCACAGCCCAGCTGTCCAGGCACTGCAGAGGCTACTTCAGCAACATCTCACCTGTAAGGTCAGAGCAGACAGAGCTTATTTTTATCCCACCCTTGAAGATGGTTTCTCACTTGGTACATTGGCTAGAGCTGCTGCTGTGTGGCTGATGCTGTCTCACCACTGCTGCTGATTTAATGCACAGCGAATAATAGAATCTCCCAATTTGGAATCTATTCACTTAAGTTGTTGTTGCCATCATTTAACTATCTGTGTATACCCTGAGAAATGGAAAAGTTAGGGTGGAGGAGAGCAGATGGTTGGGTGTGGGAGGAGCTGGAAGAAGCTTGAGTTTTCTTCTGAGCTGGGACAGTGCTGCCCTGTACTGTAACCTGCAGTTCTTTGGCTAGCCATGAGATCTGCACCCAGCAGCAAGGGGCTGGTGATAATTCAGCAGAGACTGTATTTGTGTGCAGTGAAGTCTGGTTGCTCTGATGGGCCATGCTGTTGTGGGAAGAGCTTCACCTGGTTGTGTGTGGGGCTGCTGTGTCTGTGCTTCAGTGCCAAACCCCCAGGTTTTGATGTTTTGCTGGGCAGTGGTTCAGAATGTCTGCATTCAGCACATTAACAGACCTTTTTAATTCTCTCCCAAGGGAAGGAAAGTGGTCAGAGACCAACAGGTGACTTGAAGCACAGTGACATTATTTTAACCAAATAACAAGAAAATCAGTTGCTGTTTCCCCCGTGTTTCCATGAATTCTGGGTTTCTTGAACCAGAGACATATGTTTGCTGCTTTTTTGGAACTTCATGGTTTCTGCTAGGACCACAGTGGTAAATGACTGACACAGAGTGTGCTTGCAAGATGACACCTTGCAAAATGTAAGAATGACTTGTGTCATACCCTGTGTTTTCACAGAGGCACTCTGGAAGCTACTGCATTTATAGCAATATATTATTTATACTGCATTTATAGATCTCACCTGAAAGTTAAATGTTTGCTTAAATGTTTGAAGACTTGGACCTGAGGGTTCCAAACTTTTTCTGCCTGAGGTTATGTTTGCACCCTCCCATATGTTTGTTCTCAGGAAATAGTACTTCAATTACTGGAATGGGGGAAACGGCAAGCTTGACTCACAGGCATTATGTAGTGAGTGCTGGATGGGTCACACAGCTCTGGAATGTCCTTGTGGCTGCTCTTGACTCTCACTTTTATCTTCTCCACAGTATTTTTTGGCTCCCTACTGACCTAAGATTCTCTTTCCCCGTTCTTAATACATTGTGGTAGGTCTAGCAGAGCAGCCAGGGATACTTATATGTGTGTAGCCCCAAACCAGTTCAGCTGTGCCTGACCCTAAAACTGTCCATAAGGTATCATCATGCTGATGCTCAGTAGGAGGGAGGGAGAGGTATTTGCATCTCGTTAAACTGCATTGGACTTACTACTTTGGAGCATTCCTTAATCTTGAGTCATGTGTGCTTGAGTAAGTCCGATCACTAAATCTGCTACTTAACAGCTCTTTCACAAAGCACACCCTTCTTGCCTGCCAAACAGCAGGGCTTTGCCAGTGGCCCTTAGCGAGGACAGTCCCAGCTCCTCCCAAGTAGAACACTCAGCAGAGCCCCTCTGCTGCTGAAAAAGGTGGTTATTCAGAGGGGCATCTGCTCTTTGTCACACCTTGCACTTGCCCCACCTAACATTCCAGTACACCCACTGCATGTGGGTGGGGAGACGTTTTAAATTCCACACCTCTTTAAATTCCACCACTCTTGTTATTAGGGAGTTGAGGCACGCACCTAAGGATCGTTGCTGGGTGGAGGGGTCATGCTGCTCTCCGGAACAGCAGGCCAGAAGTGCCATGTCCTACACTGGAGAGGGGCACACTTCAAGTTAACGAGAGAGATAGTGGTGCTTTTTAGTTTTTGCAAATCTAGCACCCATTTCTAACTCCTGCAGCAGCTGGAAAGGGAATATTCACTGTCATGCCTTCGTATAAATCTCTTGTTTTTCCTTCAGCTGAGTTACTAATACTCCAGCCCTTTTGGAAAGGTACAGTGATTCCAGCCCAAAGAACAAATAACTTCCTTCCTTATAACTGTCACCATTTCTGTCCCAAATTGGTGGTATATCTGTCTGTTCATCAGAGAAGCAGTTCAGCTGAACCACCACTAATTGCAAACTGGTATATAAAGTGCCAGAAGTAAGTGTGGCCTAATGTGGTGTCAGCAGCTGCTTCACCATCTGCTGAGTCACCACTGCAGTGGGGACCAGGGACAAGAGTGGAACATGGTGGCAGCCATCCCCAGGTGGGCTGTCCCCACTAAGGAGCTGCAGCTTGGTCTGACACAAACGACAAAGCAAACAGCAAGCCTATTTAAACTCATTTAAGTTACGAGCCCTTCCCTTGCCCTTATCCTTCTGCATAGACCTTCCTTTTTCTCTTCAGGACTGTACAGGGATGCAGCACACTCAGCAGGTGCCCTGGGGGTGTAAAAGGTAAAGAATCCAAATGAGAGCTGGATGAGGGCTGAATGTGAGCTGGGCATGCCATAATCCTTAGGTTGCCTTTTAGATGCGAAAATAGCATTATTAACCTTGTAGTAATGATTTGTAATTTGCATTGCAACTCTTGTTTCAGTGTCTCTCCAGCCAGCTGACTGCTGCACACTTCTCTCTGCAGAACAGCTCTGAGTTGCATTAAATGATTCAGTATTCCCACCAGGCACTGTTTGTCAAGTCTTGGCAGCTGATGCCAAATACAACTGGCTAAGCCCCTTGTGAGGTGGCTGTGTCTTTGCACTGACCTTCTGTACACTGTGCCTGCAGTTGACTGATTCTGTTTTGGAAGAACTGAGAAATATCTCTTGTATTTTTTTTTCTTTTCTCCCTCTCCTTCATTTTGTTCCAGTGCTTTCTGGACGTGCTTGGCAAGATGGAGCCGCCGACCTCCTCCAGGCTGAATTCCCGAAAGAGAAGAAAAGATGGATCAGGCCCTAATGGGGCAACAGAGCTGGATGGAATCCCTCCAAAAATGTCCCGACGCTCACTTGTAAGTAAGCAGAGATAAGAATTTTGGGAGCCTGTGAGATGAGGACACAGAGCTGTAACAGCTCAGTACAGGTGGTGGTTTGTCTGTGGACAGAGAAAACAAGAGGGGGCAGGGGATAAGAAACAAATGACAGTAGCTCTCCTTGCAAATCCAGTTTGGAATCTTCCTTTGTTCATACTAATAACATACTTACAACGTGGGCTTAAATTAGGTCTGAGGCAAGCATTGCTAAGCTGCTTTTGTGGTGTGTCCGGCTTGTCACTTAAGCTGAGCCAAAGAGGCATGCATTTAGAGAGCCATGGAGAAGTAAGCATTTCTCATAGGTGGGTTTTAAGTGGCCCACTGAGAGAGAAGCACATAACAACTGCAGGAGGGTCTGAAGCCTGTAAGCACCTGAAGAAGTGATTTGTTGAATCCATGCTCTGATGCACTGGAAAGATCACTGTTCATTCCATTTTCTTGGTCTGGAGAGAGACCGCCTTTTTGTTGCTGGTACTTTGGGAGTGTCCAGAAAAAAAACACAGCAAACAACCAAAAGGATTTATTTTCTAGATCAACCTTGGGGTGGCTTTAACTAGCTAAAACCAGTGGGATCTTTTCTGAAGGGGGTCTGATCCAGGTAATGCTACTGAAAAGGGCTGTCTTTAACTTGTCCTTGCCACAATATTGCGACAATTGGCTTTTTATAGTTCTCTGCCCTCTTCCTGGAGCTGTCCTGTGCATCACGTGTGCTCTAGCTGTTCTTTTCTTATCTCTGGCCAGCTACCATCCCTGCCATGTCATACCAGGGTCATGGTCCTTGGCAAAATGTGGTGATGTGTTGCAACTTCCCTCCTCGATGACAACGTTCTGCTCTTCAGGAGGGCTGCAGCCCTGTCACACAGCATTGACAGTGGTGATGAAGTAAGAGCAGCACCAACAGTGAGAACTGAGGAGGCAGGCACTGGGGAGAGAGGCTTGAGCTGTTGTGTAACTTATCCCACAGAATCTTTACATCCTTCACTGTTGCAAAAACACACCCTGTCCCTCTTAAAGATCCCATGTATTTCAGTGAGGAAAGAGAAGTGTGCAGGTTATTTATTATTCCATGGCAGTCACTTGCTCTTCAAGTTCATGTCTGTCCTCTGTTAGAAGTAAAACATCTGTGAACAGCACAAGACAAGTAATATCTAGCCACTTTCTGAGCTTCCTGCCTGTTTTTTAGCCACAGGGCAAACACAGTTCTGGTGAAAGATTTTTTATTTCCTTTTGCAAAAGTTTTATTTATTATAGTGAGAGTAGTAGTGTTGCCTAACTGTGAGATTACCTTGAAGCCCTTTCCACTCCCAACTAAGCAGCTGTTGTCAGAATGTTCCCCTGAAGCTCAGCAGCAGATGGTGGTAACAAACCTGTTGACACATAAACCTGTTGTATTGTGCACATCAGGTTGAGTTTTGACCCTCACTGGCCATGCAGGAGAAGGGCAAGACTCTGGCAGGACCTTCTGAGGACACGTATCTCTGTTCCTCTGATAATTTTGATAGGGCTTTTTTGTGCTTTTATGCCTAACTTTGTATCAGGTATGTGTCAACTAAACTGCTGAGAATCCGATTTTATAGGGAAGTCCTAGACTTAATGGCAGTGATGAAAGACCTGCAGGCCTTATCTGACAGCAAGGATCCATGGTAGAGGAGGTACTGTGTGAAACGTGGAGCCCTCAGTAACTTAAAGGAGATGTTCAGCAGTAGCAGTTCATTTTCATGTAGTGGTCAGTGGTTGTTTTCCTGTGCATTTCACTCTAAGCATTCTAATAAGGAACAACACTGGCCAGAACAGCAGTGGTTTTTGTGGTTGTAGTGGTGCTGGACACTGCCATGATTCTGCAGTGGGACAGGAAGCCAGAGAGGAAACTGCAGATTAGCCTTTTCCAGTTTGAAGGTATTATTGTAATGATTTGCAAGCTTGTTTCCTAGTGTTCTGACTCAGGAACAAGATGTCCATTGCAGCCGTACACCTTCCAGCTAGAAGGAAATTGAGCCGCTTGTTTTGTAATGGGAAGGGCAGATGTTTCATTTCTATTCAGAGCAGACCAGAAATGATGCCTGGACTTCAGCTGTTGATTAAATGTACTGTGTGGTCAAGCTAGCAGGCTAGAGGAGTTTTCTTGCAGCAGTTGAAGTTATTCTGCCACAGATGAAGATCAGTCTCTCCATTTGTATGGCTCAGAAATGGTGGCAACACACACATTCCCTGGGAGTTAGTGCTGCAGTTAGTATTGCTCTTCTGCTCTGTTCATATACTCAAATCAAGGAGCTGTTAGTTTGTTTATCACAGCACAAACACTCAGGAAGAGCAGAGTGATGGTCTTGCCAGAGTGGGCACAGCTGGAGTTGTGACAGTGAGGTTGGAAGCTTGGCTTGTGCTACTGGGACCTGCTGTTTGTCAAAAGTCTGAGTTTAGCAGCTGCAGCTCTGATTCTCTGATTTTCTTGGTCCAGTATAAATGTGGTCTTCTAAACCCTTCTTTTCTCACTGTTCCTCTCTAAACTCAGGATAATCATCCTGCAAGGCTGTTTTGAGGTTTTGCACTAATTAGTCTTTAATACATGTGTCTGAATTGTGCAGAGGCACAATGAGTCACCTGTTGACTAGGACACTGCAATGGCAGTGCCTGTGATCTATGAACTGTCCTCGCTTTTTGCACTCTCACAGTGAAACTTTGCTGGCTGTTTAGGGGCTGAGGGAGCCAGCTCCATTCTCAGATGAAGTGGAGATCGACTACAGCAAGCCATACATCAGAGTAACATATGAAGAAGCCATGAGAGGGACCCCTTGTAAGTAAGAACACAGACTGAAAGGGAATTATATAAATGTTGGGTTTTGGGGGGTGTGGGTATGATTGGGATATCTCTGAGATGAAGCCTTGGACCAGGTTTACAGCCAATGACTTAGGGAGTGCTTTGGTGATTAGATAACTGTTTCCATGGGAAATTTGGCCCGTCAGTACACCTGAAATTTGAGTTTGTGTGAGGGCACTACAGATATTTGCTTTAAACTCTAGCTGAGCCACTGACAGCCATAGAACTGCACACTTTCTGTAGTACTTTGTCTGAGGTAGCTTAAAGTTAAGCACTTTAAAAGTCATATTTTCTGCAACTTGAAGCAGGCAAGTAAAACAAATTTATATCTTTGTCCAGAATGTCCCATTCTACCCTGGGTTTGAATTAAAGTCAGTGTCATTAAACACCACAGACCAGCCCCACAACAAGAATGTGTCCTATTATTCTCTAAACCAGGCTGGGAGAAACACTGTCCCCTTTGCAAGTCCAGAGGGGGAAGCAGAGGCGCAACAGACTCCTGAAGGATGACGGCCCTCTCCTGCCAAACCACATATGCAGACAGCACTTCTGTCTACCTGGCTGCTACTGAGAGATGAGCCAGCTCAGATTGAGACCTGGCTGTGGTTTCCTGCCAGAGGTTCTGAAAACCCAGTGTATTTCACAGTCTGCATTAATTTCCCAGATGAAAATCTCCAGAGTCGGCACAACAGTCTCTGATTTCAGCAGTGGTAGCTCTCCTGCCTGCCAAGACTAAAATACAGTGCACAATGCCTTGTTGCTGTTTGTGTTTGTGCTCAGGAACTGTAGCTGCTGTAGGTACAAAGGAAAGATAAAGATATCCCATCCCCTTTGCAGAATGTGAATGAACATTCATAAAGGTCTGCTAGGACCAGCCCTCTTCTGGCATACAGAAAGCTTTTGCAGACACAGAATTGTGTCTGCTTTTCTTTGAGTAGTTCATCTGTGTTTTTGAATAATGCCATACACTGCATTTGTCTGGGGGAGCTAATGATGCTGGTCCCTCAACCAGACTGTGGCAGCAGGCTGCAGAGGAGGATGCTGTAAAGGTCTTGAGATGCCAACCTGGCAGGCAGGAGGAAAACAGGCACCTGTGAAACATTTGAGCCAGGTCCCCTCTGCTATCTCACTGTTGTGCAAAAAGTTAATTCTGCATTTGGATTTCCATAGAAGGGAAATGTTCAGGGTTTGCATTTCCCTTGCTCTCCCTTGTTTGGGTGATACATGGTAGGCTTTCAGTCCACTTTTAAATGCATTTGTATTTCAGCTCTGTGCTCAGATGCATTTGTTTCCACATGGGAAGGCAGAGAGCCAAGCATTTATCTTCACAGTTCTGTCCTAATTATGGTGCTGCATTCTGTAACATCTCCTAACACCTCCATTACTTTCAGAAGGTCCTCAAATGTGAGTATGAGCAGCAGCTGCTTCTCCAGGAAGGCATATTCACATTTGTCTCTCTGTCCCTTTGGCACAGTGGATCGCCCTGTCAGAGTTTATGCTGATGGAATATTTGACTTGTTCCATTCTGGACATGCCCGGGCCTTGATGCAAGCAAAGAACCTCTTCCCAAACACATACCTCATTGTTGGAGGTAAGGAGTGACCTTGTTGACTTTGGCTGTTGCAGGAGTACAGTTTAGCTCTGTCTGTGGTTGTGCATACAGGGGTTTTGTCTTGTGGCCTCAGTGACTCTCACTGCAGACACTTATCCTAAATGTTGCTGGAGTCTTATTGCAAAATGTTGAGGATTGGATATGTCTGCAGAAATATATCCTGTACTAAATGAGTGCTTAAGGAAAAGATTTTTGATCATGCTGTTTTAATTTGACCCCTCTATTTTGTGACAGGTACGGGTGAGTTGCACATCTGAGTATCAAAATATACTAGAGATAAGCTGAGCATCTACTTTTGACTCATAAAAGAGACAGCTAAAGCATGAGTCCCTCCATGGCTGCTTTTTTCACCTCTATTGCCCTGCAAGTCACTCCAGGCTTCAGTTTCCTGCTGGAGATTGCTCAGTGCCAGACAGATCCCACTGGGAGCGTGGAGATCATGGTGGTTTCTTGGGCATGTGCCTGGACACCTGGAAGTCAGTGAGGCCTTCCTTCTTCAAATAGAAGTTCCCCATTTTATCTGTTAGGTCATAGGTCTTTAGATGATGCCAAGAGTGTCTGGCTGAGTGCCTGAAGGGATCTAGCAGAGGTGTTTCAGCCAGGCTCCTTCAAGAATGTAATAGGAAAAAAGATATCCCTCTTCTGGCTGCTGCAGTACATGGGCCTCTGTCCAGGCAGTGCCTCTGCCCATCCCTGCACCCATGCTAAGGGCACATCAGGCTGTGATTGTCGTCTGTCAGGAGCTGACCCCTGGTCAGGCTGCATAATGATGCCAATGTATGAGAACTGAAAATACCTTTAACTAGTTTTCTCAACTCCCAGTGTCTTCGTGAAGCAAAATGAAATTCTCACCCTGCCATAGAACAGTTATAACATCCTTGGGTGGTTTGTGTCCTTACCACAGTTATTGCTGAGAGCATTTTAATAGTGGTATGCCTGCACTTCTTGTGTGCTACAAGGGAGGGGAAGAGGGGGAGGGAGAGCTGAAACAGTTGCTTCAACCTACAAACTGCCCTGAGCTTAGAAATCTTAAAGGCTGAAGGACATCCCCTTGTACATAAACACTACAACAAACAGGAAAATAACTTCGGGTCAAGCTATTAACATATTAAAATAGCAAGGAGTGTAACCACATTCCGTGCCTCTAGGAGACAGGTGAGGAGAAGGGCAATGAACTGCTCCCCTTGCACCAGGACTGAAGCTGCAGGCCACATCCCAAGCAAACATTAGCTCCACGCAGGGAACAATCTCCCCCACTCTTTATCATCTGTTTGTCTAGAACATAAATATATCCAATACCAATGAGACTGGTAATGCCTTGTTTACTTTTGAGTCTGATAATCAAATAGAACTCCTTCCTCAATATCTTACATTGCAGATTATGAAGAGGTTTTAATTTACTTTTTCATAGAACATAATAATAATTAAGCTTGATCCTGTGAACTCCCCCTTTGTTTTAATGTATCTTTCCAAGAAATAGGCTGTGGTATGGCATTTTATGAAATCAGAAGTTCAGGCAATAAGTTTTTTCAGATTCCAAGCCTGAGACATCCATTGCTTTAAACACAGATTTCTGCCCAGCAGACCCCCAGGTGCCATTTCTTACAGAAGAGCGGTCTTCTGTGTTGGCTGGTTTTCTTGTTAAGTGCTGTAAGCTCTGTAGACCTTAAAGGCTTGGGGTGTGGGTCCCCAGCTTGGGCAGAAATTCCCCAAACAGCCTGCCCAGAAGTGTCCTGCAGAGGTCCCAGTTCCTGATGCTTTGTGGCTGGAAAGCTGGGTTTGAAACACCAGCCTCTGTCAGCTGCTGGCATTGTCTGGTTCAGCAGGGTGTGGGCAAGGTCCTTTTACTGTAAATCACTGGGGTAAGTGCCTCAGACTCAGTGTTCTCTGCCTGTTTCTCCAGTCTGCAGTGACGAGCTGACCCACAACTTCAAGGGTTTCACGGTAATGAACGAAAACGAGCGTTACGATGCTGTGCAGCACTGTCGTTATGTGGACGAGGTGGTGAGAAATGCCCCCTGGACCCTCACACCCGAGTTCCTGGCAGAGCACAGGGTAATTTGTGGTATCTGATCTGTTTGGAATTTTGATTAGCCTCTCTGTTTACAGCAAGAATTCATCCTTGGGGGTGACCTCTGCCTGAGCAAACTGTTTCTGTTGAAGCTCCTTAAATATAGAATGAACTGGATTATGGGAATTATGAGTTTCTTGGAAGTGTAGTTGCTGAGCTGGCGTGTAATGCTGAAATAAAGTAGAGATTGTGACACAGTGAAAAAGCCTGAGAAGGTTCTCACTATTTCAGGAGAAGTCGGTGCTGGTTACTGATAGGTGTGAAATGCAGTAGGGAGAGGATTACATGGGTTAGAAGGGATTTCTGGGGGGTGTCTGGTCTAACTCCCTGCTTACAGCAGGAGCAGCTTAGATATACATCAGCTTCCCTGCCACAGGAGACCAGACAAGTTGTCTTGAAAGCCTTTTATCAGTTGGTGAGATAAAGTGGAAGGAATCTCTAACATCTGTTGAACTGCTTTGGGAAGTGAAGGAGTCTCCAGGGGAGCTTGCTTAGTTTACCATTGTTGCCGTTAACAAGCCATTTCTCTGTGGAGTTTAGAGCAGCTGTGCCCTTATTCCCAGCCTTTTCTTTCCTCTCTGTCATTGCTTACAATTCACAGGCAATTGCCACTGAGAACACAACTCTGTTGTGTTGTAAGAGGGAAGTGTCTTGCTGTTCTCTCTCACACCCCTGAGTGGAGGTGTTGAGCCGAAAGTTACCATCTTTCAACAGAAGGACATCTGCACTTTCCAGATAAAATGTTGACTTGCTTTTTAAATTTTCAGATCGACTTTGTTGCACATGATGACATCCCCTACTCTTCTGCTGGCAGTGATGATGTCTATAAGCATATAAAAGAAGCAGGTGCGTCCCCCTCAGATTCTCCAGGGCTTCCTGTCAAAATCTTCTGTAGTTTTTCCTGTACCTCTCTAATGCAAGATTATGTCCCTCTGGGAACAAGGTCTGTCCAGGAGGCTCTGGTGGCCAGAAAAAGCAGCTCTGGGCCCTGCTTCATAACACTAGGACTATTCCATGTCCCATCCCAAGCATGGCCCAGCATTAATTCCTAATTTCAGTCTAGTTATTTTGATTGAATTAACAGCAACCTCTTGAAAATATACTACAGTTTGACTTAGAGATCCTCACAGTGGGGAGTCTAATGAACTTAGCAGAGGGGCACCTCTAGCTGTTTGCTGTAAAATTCACTGGGGGTGCAGCTTTTTTGTATCTATCCAAACTCAGCCATCGGAGTATTATATTTCCATCCATTAAAATGTAGGACCCCTTGTCCTGTCCTTGCCCCACACTATTGTGTGTGCAGTCAATATTTAAACCAGCTAAAGTGAGGACCTTTTCATTAGAATACCTGGTATTTTGACAGGCTGTTGGCATGTTTTGGTCTTACTTAGGCATCCCAGAAAGGATGGCTCTGGTATTGTACATTTAAGGACAAAGATGTGTGAATAATTAGGAAGTGAGCTCTTGACAGGATAAATTGTTTCCTAATAGAGGTGGCAGCAGCTTTTTGCCGTGTGTCCTGCTCAAGCTGTCCTGGGTCCTTCTCCCCAACTTTAGGCATGTTTGCACCGACCCAGAGGACTGAGGGCATCTCCACATCCGACATCATCACGCGCATCGTGCGGGACTACGACGTCTATGCCAGGCGGAACCTGCAGCGGGGCTACACGGCCAAGGAGCTCAATGTCAGCTTCATAAACGTGAGTTGAAGTGGGTCTCACCACATGCTGCAGGAGCCAGAATCTTGCAAAGTGTGAAGAGAGTCTTGTCTAGTGATAGCACAGTCCTGCCATGTGCCAGTGAAAGGCCCGTCTGCAGAGCTAAGCATTGGCACTAAACCAGTGTCCTTGGAGTAGAAATTAGACTTCCTGAAATCACCTCAGGGACCTACTCAGAGGAACTGGGGGGCTGCTAATACTGCTTTCTTGTCAGTGATGTCATGATGATGTCTTACCTATTGAAAGAGTTGAGGAGAGGGTGTGTGGCAAAATGTATGTTTTCTTGAATGAAGAGTGAGTGTTTCTTGATAGCAACTGCTGTCTCACCCCTCTCCTCTTCCCCCAGCTACCTCCTTAGGGTAGAGTCATTTGTTAGGATAAAATCTGATGCTGTTTCCACTGTGCTGTTCCCTTCCTGGAACAGCAGTGCTTGGGTAGGACAGTAGGATATGCCCTGATGCTGTGCTGTGCAGCTCTAGCCCTCAGAAAGAATACATGGCAGAAGACATTTTTGATGTTGGAAGTAAATTCGTAAACATTTTTTTTGTCACTCAGATACTGTGCCTGTGAACAATGAAACAGGAGAGGTAACAGCTGCTTGGCCTCTCTTTGGCACATAACTCTCCCTCTGTTTAGAAATACCCAGCAGAAAGACTGGTGCTGTTGTGATATGCAAGAGAGACCTACAGCAAGTCATTCTAATCTGTGTGCTGTATAAATATTTCCTTCTTCCATGCACTCCTATTAGATAGTGCTTATCTCTGGCTTTAGTTTTGCTTTGTGTACTGTGCCAGTGCCTGCCACAGAGTGTCTCACAGCCCCACTGTGTCTGCCATGTAGTCTAGGAAAGAAGTGTCATGGAAGTGAAGGAGAAGTGTCACCAGACTAATGGGGATGCTGAGTCTCAAGCAGCACTTCAGTGTAGTAACACAGAGCAGAGATGGTCTCCACTCAAATCTGGTGAGCTGTATTCTGATCCACCACTCTCTGTGCAGGAGAAAAAATATCACCTCCAGGAACGTGTGGACAAGGTGAAAAAGAGGGTGAAGGATGTAGAGGAGAAGTCAAAGGAATTTGTCCAGAAAGTGGAAGAGAAGAGTATTGATCTCATTCAGAAGTGGGAAGAGAAGTCCCGGGAGTTCATCGGCAATTTCCTGGAGATGTTTGGCCCAGAGGGCGCATTGGTAAGGAGTTGTTCTGGGAAAATGGGAAAGGGAATTTTGAAGACATTAACAGACAGGCTCCTACAGAGTCTGCATAAGAAAGGTTTGGCATTTGTTGCAGTGCTCAGTGTGCTGCCAGTCTCCAGACAAGTGTCCCAGGCTTGGGCAGCCTATTTTCAGGGACTACTCACCATTGCCAAGGAGATAATGCCAGTTATATTGTAGAGTGAAAAAATCCACTGTCCCACAAGCTGGCCTGTAAACTCCAGTTTGTGCCCTGCTGACCACTGAGCTGCCAAGAGGATGGTGGTCACTTTGTCATTGGCCTAAGATGAGTCTGAAGCTACTTGTTTATGCCAGGCTTTCCTGCACTTTTGGGTGAATATCACAGGCATTTCTTGGAAATTAATGATGATTACACTGGGTGCAGTTTCCAAAGCCGAGCGATGCTGGGGCTTTTTCTGCTCTTAAATAGCATGAAGTTCTGAAGGGACACAACTGGAAATGCTGCATGGGCTGTTAAGTAGTGTCCATTTCCATGACTGTGTAATCCATGCTAACTGTCCTTTTGCTTCCCTCACCAGAAACACATGCTGAAAGAGGGCAAGGGCCGGATGCTGCAGGCCATCAGCCCAAAGCAGAGTCCCAGCAGCAGCCCCACACACGACCGCTCGCCATCTCCCTCCTTCCGCTGGCCCTTTTCCACCAAGACTCCTCCTTCCTCACCTGCCAACCGCTCCAGGAACAAGTCTGCAGTCACCTATGACATCAGTGAGGATGAAGAGGATTAACCTACCTGCCAGGATTTGCTGCAGACCGCTAATCACTGAATCCTAAGTCCAGACCCACTGGGGAACTCTAAATGAGCAAGAGAGCCATAGGAACAGGGCTGATGGTGAGCACAGGGCCTTGGAGGCACCCGTTGCTCTTAGCAAGGGCTGTTGCCTGGAAGCACATTCAAACCTCCTCTCCCTTCTTCTCCCTAAGTCCCCTTTTTATTGTTTACGTTCTAGCGGTTTCCAGGGTGAAGATGATTTTTATATATTAAGAAAATATTCGTTAAAAGGGCAAAGAATAGCACTCAAGCGTGGCTTTTGTTTTGGTTTCTTTTCCCTTGTTAAGCCTCCAGGCAAAAGGGAGAGTGGGAAGACCCATCTGTCTTCTTCTTTCCTTCGGCTCCTCTGTTTTATCCCCCCTACCCCCAGGCACTATCTGTGCCACTGCCAAACGAAAGACCCCTCAGTTCCTCAACCAGCATGACCTCGAGAGCACACACAAAGCAGTGGTGTAATGAGGCTTCTAGGAAATAGAGACATCCCTTCTGGGCTGGAGCCGATAGGAATCTATCCAGCAGACCTGTAGTGCTTGCATGGCTCTTAACTGAGCTTCCCAGTGTGTTGCAGTGAGGACGTGCTGGGCAGGGGGTACCAGCTTGGCACGCAGGAGTTACACCCGGGAAGGACTTGCAGCACTGTAGAGTGGCACACCCCATAAAGTGCACAGCATTCACAGCTCCAGACAGTGGAGGGGCTGCAGGGGAAAGGCCTTTCCAGCTAATCTTAACAAGACTGCTAAATCCTGAGGTAAAATTGAGCCCTGAGTTGCTGTTGGAGAGAAGAGAATGAATCTTTGCTTCAAAGCACTTGCTGTCATGCATTTCCTTGAGTGTGTGAGAGGCCAGGTAGGAAATGAATGTGTGTAGTCTTTTGAGAAATTCCTTGTTCCAGTCTGTGGTGTGTTACACGTTTTAGTGTCTGTCCAAATGGTCCCTCAGCATTGTGCTGTGTGTGTGTTTGTGTTTCAGTTGCTGTGCTCTAGGGGCTGGAGGAGTCCTTCACACTGGTGCCATGAAGTCGCTGCTCTAAGGGCAAAGCAGCTAGTTTGCTGCCCATGTCAGTGTGTGTGCAGCTGGACAGATGAAGGGCCCCAGTCCTGTGTGACAGTTACCTGGATTGTGTAGTACATGCACAAATCCATGCCTGCTCACTCTGCTCCATGAGGCAGGGTGGAAGGAGCATCAGAGAGTGCTGCAGCTTTTTAAGGTTATTTAAATACACAGTGCTCGTTTGAGTCCATGGTCCAAGTTGTGCCTGCTGTCATGTCTGTGATACACACCGAGCTTTGTGGCCTGTGGGTCCCCAAGGGGACTTGCCCTCCCCATAGCTGAGCAGAGCAGGTTGGTGCACCCTGTTCTGCACCTAGCACTGGAGAAATTTGCCTTGCTGTCTTGTAGCTGTGGAGCTTTTCTGCCAGGGTTTGGTTCTGTTACCCACTGTCTCTGGGTGGAGCTGCTGGGCTGAGTTGCCTGTATCCTGTGGTGCTGGAAACAAAAAGAGGACAGCTCAGACCTCTGTCAGCAATGCTGCAGGGAGGTCTCCAGAGCAGGATGTGAGGCTTGGGGAGCAGCAGATGCAAGGAGGAAACTCATCAAGTGCTGCCACAAGCTCAGCACGCTGTGATGCTTCCAGAGCACATGGTGGCCCTGTGGTAGGAACAGGCTGCAGCTTCTTTCCAGCTTTTGTCTTAATGGTCTTTTGTCATGCTGCCCAAAGGACTTGACAGAGGTTCTGTGCTTCTCTTGAGGCCAGAATCACTATGGGAAAGGGTGTTTTGGGGATCCCTAATCTGCCACTTGGACCTCTTTCAGCAGGGATGTGCACAGCTGTGGGAGCATGGCTGGCTGCTGTGGATTTTAAACTGTAAGGAGCAAATAACAGTGACATGGTAGAATCCAGTTATTAATCCTCTGGTTTATGAGTGGTAGAACACTTACTTTGTATCACCCACATTGTCTCTTCCCATATCTTCCCTTCCTCACCCTTCCCTCAGTACGGATGTTGCGGTTGCTTCCCTGAGCCAATTCACAAAGGCCAGGCTGCTTTAGAGCCTTACTACTGTTTTAAACACAAGTTATGCAACAGTGTTCTGTAAGTTTGGGTAACCATGGTGTTTTGGATGGTGGCTTGTTCTGCAGAGACCTTAACACACTTGGTCTCTCTGCAAAATCTGGGGTGCTTGGTAAGAAGACAGCTGTGGTTTTACATGTAGCTTGGAATAACAGAGCTGTTTCTTGTAACCAATAATTTCTGCTTCCTCCTTGCACTGAAATTAAATTGGACACTGAAATCCCAGTCTAGTCTTTTTTTTTTTTTTCCTTTTTTTTTTTTTTTTCTGCTGGATTCCTTGACCAGTCTTCTCCAGCACTGTCATGTTTTACCAGGAGTAGGTAAGAGCTTGATCTTTCAGCAAAACATGAACCAGGTTCCTCAGGATCCTGTCATTCCCACAGATACACGCAGTGCTGCTGCTTCAGGGCTGTCCTGCGTACCTCTGAGCCATCCCTCAGTTTTCAAAAGAAGTATTCAGAAGAGACATGAAGTAAAAGATGGAAAAACAGTGGAAAAACAAAATTTCACTACCATGCAGTGAAGAACCCTGCAGAGTTGATGCTGCCAAATATAGAGGCATCTACTCACGTGAAAGAGCCCTACTTCACTTCTTCAGTAGATCTGGGGTGTGAGCTCCAGGGGAAGGATTTTCTGATGGCCAAGAAAAGGAGCAACAGGACAGAACTGAGAGGTACCAGGGATGGTGGTAGAAGAAAGAGCATTGGAGAGTGGCTGCAACTTTCTAACATGTGATCTGCTCATTTGAAACCATGGTCTGAGTTGTGCTTCTGGTGTCTATAATGAACACTTGGGGTCAAAAGATTACCCAGTGGTTTCTGCAAATTATCATTGCTCCTGATGTCCATCCCCATGTCTAGAGCAGATACTGGTACTGGACCAAGTCTGGTTAAGACAGCATTAATTAATTGCCGGTGTTACAAAGGTGCTTCAAGGCTATTTCCTTTGCCTGGTGCCTGACTGGCAGGTGTGGATGCTCCCTGTGTGCTTTCAGGAGCAGCCAGTGCCATCAAGAACAGGCCACAGGGACAGGTCAGACCCATCCTGATGTCCTGGGAGAAATCACCATTGGCCTGGGCGTGCCTTGGCTGTGGGACCTCAGCCAGCAGCACCCAGAGCTCAGTGACACAGCTGGATGTTGGGCATCCCACAGCAGTCCCATGCCATGGCTGTGTTCATCTGGGCTCCATCCTGGAGGATGATGGAGTCATCTCCCACCCAGCCTAGGCAGAGATAATATGAACCCAGTCACCAATGTAAGACTCCAGTAAAAATTTATCTTTACTCAGTGCTAGACAAAAATCTCCAGGCTGGAGGTGGCTCCATGGACCAGCTTGGCTTATGGATTTTTTCAATCTGTCCCAAGATGCTCTTTCCCCTTCTGCCTCTTCTGCTGCCAGCAGCTCCCCAGGGTCAGGGGAGGAGAAGGTTGTGCAGGGTAGACCAGCCTCTCACCCCACTGTGCCCCTTGGCACCCCCAGTCTGTCCTTCCTGCTCACGCCTTGACATCGGTGCCGGCGGGTGCGAAGCTGACCGGATGGTAGCCAGGCTTGTCATCCTGCTTGCGGTAGTACATCCGCGTCAGCACCGCCAGGATGAAGGTCTGTGGGATCAACAGCTGCACATTCATCTCTGGAAGAGGAGGAGGGTCACTTGAAGGTGCCTCCATCCACCATGCCCACCCCCCCATGCCATGCCACGTGATGGAGGGGGCTTGGCTGGGAACATGTGGTGCTGCTCTCCCATCTCCCGACTTACGCTGTGACCTGGCCTTGGAGGAGAAGGGCGGTGAGCAAGCGATGCTGCCACTGTTGGCCAGGATGCTGAAGATGGCAGGCTGGAGCGCCGTCAGGAGGAGCAGGATCTGCAACCACCAGCACCCCCGTGGTGAGGGCTGTGCCGCTGCTCTGCTCCCAGCCTTCACCTTCCCCGCTGTCCTGCAGCCAGCGGGGCTCTCACCCAGCAGTGGCTCCTGCCCCACCATCTTCTCTCATGCTGCCTCACCCCATCTGTGCTGCAGGAGCCCCTCACCTAGGAGGGAGCTGGGCAGGACAGAGGCTCACCTGGAAACAGGTGAACTTGGCCTGCATGTTCTGCTCAGCCAGGTGCAGCCGGGCCTGCCGGAAGAGGATGCCCAGGGCCCACAGCCCAAAGAGGGTGGAGACACCAACCAAGGTGTTGATCCAGAGGGCCACGCTTTCCGCTGAAATCTGGGGGGGACACACAGAAAATGTTACTGGGCTAACAAAGCTCAGGTGGAGGTTTCCTGTCTAGGTCATCAACCTGCCCATCCCTGTGCTCTGGCACTCACGTCAGCAGGGTTGTAATTCCCATCGGCAGCCAGGATCAGCCCCAGGAAGACAGCAACTGCCCTGAAGAAGGCATACTGGAAAGTCCCCAGGATCATCAGTTTAAGCTTTTTCCTGGCATAGCAAGAGAGACTGGTAGCACACAGAGCTCTCCAAGTCCCTGCCCAGGGACGTCTCTTCCAGCCCAGCGGAAGCAGGGGGTGAAAGCTCTCCAGAGGCAGAAGTTTATCCCAGACCCCCTCACCTGCTCATGGTGATTCGGGGCAGGCAGGGGCAACAGCAGCAGCACGGCCCAGTGCTGACCACCATGGACACATCCTTCAGGGTGCTGAGCAGCGCTTCTTTGCCCCCAAAGCCCTCCACCATGACCAGCATTAGCAGGTAGAAGCAGACAGCAAAGTACCTGGGGAGGAGGAAGGCAAGTCAAGCCCTGTGGGCTCCATGGTGGCCTGTCCAAGGGTGGGTGATACTCACGCTGTGGTAGCCATCTCCACCACCATCATGGAGCGCGGGAACCACAGGCCGAAGCAGCTGACCACTGACACAACCTGGGGGACGCATGAGCTTGGCACACTGACATTCCCCCTTCCTGTGGGCTGGCACGCCTTGGGTAGCCCTGGACCCCCAGGGTGATGCCCCCCAGCACCCCCTCAGCCCAGCTCACCGTAGGGGCTGAGCTGCTCCAGCAGAGGGTCTTCATCTTGATAGGGCAGCGGATCTTGCGGAAGAGGTACGAAACCTCTTCCACATAGATCACAACTGACAGCAGTGTCATGATGGTGCAGAGGCCCAGGATGATGACTTGGGCTATGTCCAGCTCTGCCAGGGAGGGGTGAGAAGCTGTCTTCATCCTGTCCCCACTGGAGCCACTACTGCAGGGAGCTGCTCCATGACCCAGCACTCCACAGATTTAGGAAGCTCTGTGCCATGCCCTGGACATGCCTGTCTATGCCAGAGCTGGCCCTTCTGTGCCACTGCTCCCTGTCCCATGACAGCTGCCCCAGTGCTGGCCCTTCCTGGGCTGTCCCCATCCCTCTAGGAAGGACTATGAGATGGGAGGCTAAGACCCTGGCACCAGCCCAGTTGCTGACTTCTGGGACTGTTCCGTGCCTGCACTTGCCACGGCCACCCTACCACCTTCATTCCTGTCCTGCTCCCGCCAGCTACAACAGCAGGGTCCTCCCCACCCTGTCCCCCCACGTACGGTGCAGCAGCTGCCGGGAGGTGGGCGGCAGGGAGAAGCAGGCTGCCGGCACGCTGAAGTTCTTGATCAGCATCTCCACCAAAGGGAGGGAGAACCTGCAGAGCAGAACGGGAGTGCTGCCCGGGGCCGCAGGGACACGGGGACAGCCAGCCCCGCAGGGTCCGAGCAGTCCCCTGGCTGGCTTGCCTCACCGCCAAGCGCCTCCCTTCCTTTACAGAGGGATCATCCAAAGTTCTGATCCAAAACGTCGGATTTGCCCGGCTGCAAAGCGGCACGGGGATCTCCAGCACTCACCTGGGGTCATCTGCCAGCTCCAAAGTGGGATCCATCCTGTTCGGCTCCTCGCTCGCTCCGTCCCAGAGGCTGTGGGGCTGCTCGTCACCGCCCGCCTCAGCTCCCCTGGCCGGCCCACGGGGTCAGAGTCCCCAGGGCAGGGACCGTGGGACGATGCCGCGCCTCGTTCCAGTTTAACCAGAGCCTCCAGAGCTTCCCTCCCTCTCCCGCAGCTGCGGGCACCCATTGGCGTGGCCCCGCGCCGTCCCGGCCCAGCGAGTGCTTTGGCCACCCGGTTATCGACCCGGGGTGCCGGGAAGGCGACTGTCACCCGTAGCGGCAGCCCTGCGTGTCCCGAGGCCTGGGGCGCAGGGCAGCCGTGCCGGGGTGACACTGCTGGGCCCGGCCGTGGGCTGCTGGTGCCACGGAGGGGCCGGGACGTGTCCTCGTGTCCCCTCGGCAGCAGTGCCGGGGTGGCAGGGGGGAAGCCTGGCAGCCCCCGCTCTGCCCGGCGGGCCCCGGGAGGACTCTGGGTGGCTCAGCTCCAGGGGCTGAGCCCTGCACCGAGCAGCTCCCACGGCACTAGAGGGCAGGGCTGGCCCAGCTCAGAGCCCTGGCCTCGGGACAGCAGCAGCACCCCGGCCTGGGGAGGGAACAATCGGAGTGGGGAGCTGCGGGCTTAGCCAGGGGGAGCAGTGTACCCCAGAATCCTCGTGGGTCCCAGGGTGTCCACGGCTCCGGGTGTTCTCCCAGCCCTTCAAGGAAAATGAGTTCTGATTTATACTGGTTTCCTTGGACTACCCTTGGCCACTCTGGCAGGGGGCTTCAGCTGCAGCCAGACTGGCACCAGGACCCCAGATGGGTGCTCTGCACCTTGCTGGAGGAGCGGGATGCTGCTGTTGTCACAGGAATGGGATGGGAGAGGAAGGGATCCTGTGAGGACTCTGCATATCTGAGATCCTATGGACACCTGGGGCTCCCCTCCTCTCAGCCCCATTAACCAAGCCCCATATCCCTGTCCCTACACACTGTACATACCCTTTCCTGCCCTATATGCTGTAACCTAACCTGGCACACTGCGTGCTGCACACCCAGCCCTCTGCACTCACACACACACACACCTTACACAAGCTCACCATGGCTGCTCCTGACCCCACAGGGTGCATGGGACCAATGGGGGCCCCCCACCCAACACCTCTGAATCACCAGCATTGCCTGTGGCTGAAGAAACACGTCAGCTCCTGTGACATCTGCCATGCTGGCCTCTATGTGATGGTCACTGCAGGCTATGTCATGGCAGTTCTGCTGTCTTGCTCATCCACCTAGTGCTCATCCCTCTGTTGTCCATCAGCACTGGGATGATCTGCATGTATCCCTGGCCCCAGGGAAGCAGGGTCCAGCCCCAGCACGCAGCCACACGTGCTGCACTGCCCAGACAC